AAAGTGAAAATGTATGCAGTTATAGTTCCCAAAAGCATTGGGGATATTTCGTCTACCAGACATAACCAAAACAACAGATTCAAAGCTAGTCAGCATGTAACCGAAAAAAGGGGGGATTAGGATCTGGGAGCTAGAACCCACAATGTCTCAGATCCCACTATCACTCACTGTTTATAGCCAGTTGTGGGTATGATAGTTATCCCTAAAAAAAAAAAACATAAAAATAGAAATAAGGTAGTAAACCACCCTTGATTTCTGTCATAGATCATCTAACCTTCTCCTTAGTATATTTACTCCGATATGAAATTACGAAATATAAAACTTTACTGTACACTTCAAGTAATAATATTGACACTTTATCACCACAAGATATTATTAACTATAAACCATAAACCTTTAGTATTTATACAAAAAACAAAATAAAACAAAATTTCAAAATGTATATATTCTGTATTGAATGTTTGGAAATACTGACATTTTTTGGTCTTAACCCTTTTGGGGCATAAAACATATCAAGCTGGTTCTCAAAAAGTGTCAATTATCCAACAAAAAATGGAATTAGGAATTTGACCTTTTCTAGTCTTTTGTGATGCCATTGGGTAAATCTGCTTGTCACATCAAATGGCTTTAAATGTCCAAAGCAAATATAACCACTTGATGCATTGTAAGGGTTAATCTATTCTGTTGAATTGTAATAAAGTGCCCAGGTATAAAGAATGGAGTTAGATAAGACTGATTGTAACAACTACAAAAGAAATTGTAAAGATGTAGGATACATTAATACAGTTAAGTGAGAATTCATAATGGTATGAGAAGAGAAAACATAAGTACACAGGTAGGATTCATTTCGATAAAGATAAGAAAGATATTTACCGTCAGGGTTATGGAAAATACAAAATATATATTTTAGTGTCCTTGGCAAATATCCTTCTTGTTTAACAGCGGTCTATTACAGTGACACATCCGAGGAATGACATATTGTACTATTTTAAGTAGATGGAGAAACTGACAAACAAAAAGCTTGAAAAAAAAAAGCTTTTTTTTACAATGAGCTCATTGTTCTTTGATTTATCTGTTTTTACACTTGTAACAAAGCACTGAGTTCAGAATATATGATTTTATCAATTAATATTCAGTATACAATTTTATCAATAAATATTCAGTGGATCCTTCTTTGAGTGCATTGAAATTATGTAATGTTGGAAATAATAGTAGCTAATAATGTTATTTTATTTGTATAATAGGATAAAAATATGATATTATACATTTTCCAACCAAGCTTTTCAATGGCAAACAGTATTAATAAGATAATCTAAGGTCTAAGTTCTAAATAACTAATTACATTTCCTGAATGATAACATATGAGGGTTAATAGAAAAGAAACAAAAGAGAAACATACAGTTATAAACAATACAAGCACAAATTAACAACTAAATAATTGTTTTTACTACATTTCAAGTAAATTTTACTATAATACATATTATACAATGATTACAACTAATTTTAAAAGCCTACTTGAAAATTTCAATTTAACTATGTTACTAGAACTAATACTGATTGATACATAGGAGTGATGAATATTTCTGATATAGATAAATAGGATGTTTACTGTTAAAACAGAAAATACTGCTTTAGTTAGTATGAATACAGTCTTGCACATGGGAGTGATATATAGTGAGGATACATTTGGATATAGATAGTACATTTACAAGTAAAGAAAATATTTTGTTACTGGTAGACAATATATTATGGCATTTTGGAGTGATATATTGGAAGGATATATTGTGGCATTTTGGAGTGATACATCGGAAGGATATATTTCTATGCATATAGAAGGATACTTACTGGCAAAGAAAATATATTGTTACTGGTAGACAGAATATATTATGGCATTTTGGAGTGATATATTGGAAGGATATATTTCTATGCATATAGAAGAATACTTACTGGCAAAGAAAATATATTGTTACTGGTAGACAGAATATATTATGGTATGTAGAAATGATATCAGTAGGATATATTTTGTTATAGATAGAAAGATATTTAGAGGTAAAGAGACAATATTGGTACTGGTAGACAGAATACTTTATGGTATGTGGGAGTGGTATATATGGATGATAAAACTGAGATGTGTATTTTTGTGTAGTGTTTTTTTTTTTTTTCAGATAACACAATGTAATCAGTAATCAGCTTGAATTAGCAGATTCTATTCTGAGTAGCAAAAGCTCAAACCTAATACATATAGTTCCTACAAGGTAGTTTGACAACATCTAGTAAAACCTTTAGATAGATGTATTATAGTCAGTAATTATGAAATTGTTATTCAAGAAATAGCTAAATATTCTTGATTAAAACAACAACAACAAATATTTGATAAAATTATTAGCACATTACTGTTTTCTGTAACATATTTCACAAAACAAATATTTAGGCTGTTAAAATTAGTTTTAACCCATTGATTACTAACAAGTGAATATTATTTAGTTGAACTTAATGCTCTTTCATGGCGTAAGTGTACTATTTCATGAAAAAGAAAAAGTTTAAAATCTTTCATAAACAAAGTTATAATTTACTTAGTTTGTGGATAATATAAGAGAGTTGATGGTATTGGATTTCAATTTCAAATAACTTAAATTTGGAGATAGTTGTTATTCTGCATTCTCTGAGGTGTCATTTATAAATGTAGAAATGAATTAATTATTGCTTGTTTAACTACGAACCTCTTTGAATGAAAAACTACAGTTTAAATGTATATAAAAGAAACAGGTTGTGCCAATGAAATTTGCTAAACTATTTAATTTCCACGAAGCAGGTTAATATACAAGAAAATAGTTATGATGTGACATTTGGTATGATTTTCAAATTCAAAACTGACCTTGAAAAAATAAGGTTTCCAAAATATCTGTAGTCTCGTATATTTCTCTTGTACTGAACATCACCTAGCTTTGTATTGGCTTGCTGCACTGTTAATCCACACTGTAACATGCATTAATGATAACAAAGAGGGTAATTTTCAGCATAGAGGAAAGTACATAACAGGTACATAATATATATCCGTTATGACAATAAGTTGACAACCAAGACCGATAATGATATTGAGATATTTAATTCTTTATTGTTTTATAGTGCTGATTTAATCGCCTATAAACAATTCATGTAATCAATAGTTTGTAAGCTGTTTGTTTTTATTATATATATATATATATATATACTCTGTCAACGGTGGTGTACCCTATGTTGTTCAGTGCATTTTGTTGATGTACACAGGTTAAAAGAAAGTCCTGACTTTCCTGTTGCAATTCATTTAACTTGTTATGAGTTGAAGGTGCAAATGGTACTTAAAAATCAGACCCTTTTTGGAATATACCATTTGCAGACATTTCCCTCAAACTTTGTGCCTTTGGTTTGTTCAAACATGTCCTTGGAAATTGTCAACCATGCACTGTTGTTGGACTTTGGAAAGATAAGAGGTACAAAATTGACCTCTGTATACAAAAGCCTCTTGCAGTGGAAGATGCACTGCAGAGTAATTGTGCTTAACCAGGCCATGACATCAAGACAGTCAGTGGTGGAAGAAGGGGCCATAAGTTAGTGTCATAATGTTTCACAGAAAGGATCTGTTTGAGACCTTTCAACCCATTTGCTCACATCCAAATCCACTGTGGGTTGTGTTGAAGAAATGAAAAACCAAAAATGAGGAATATTTATTGGTGTAGGCTCCCAAAACTAGTCAGTCCTTAGTCCTTGTGAAACAATTTCTGGGTGAAAACTCTCACAATCAGCAGTTAACCTATCACCTAGGGCTTTAAAGATACTTTAAAACTGCAGAAAAGCACATCCGTTGTATGTTGTGAATTGAAGACACAAGATATCATGATATGCTTAAGAATAGAAAAAACAACCACATGAAATGACGAGTTTCCATATTTATAGCTTATTTCAAATGCATAGGTCTGGGTTTAGCAGTAGTTTGGAGAATGCCTCATATATGATTGTACTAACCTAATCATAAAGATGTATGTGAAGTGGTGCATCATGATGAGGTGGGCCTGATTAACTTGGCTTTGCCGTAGTCCATTAGTACTAGTTAAGGCCATAAATGCCTCTTTGAATTGTAGCATTCTATACATTGATGGAATTATATGGAATGGGACCATTCCTCTTTCAGCGTGATATAGAAACATATCATAATCAGATGTATGTAGTAGTGATCAGAGCTCCGACTTGTATCAAATTGAACTTCTGTGTTGATTTGGAGCTATTTTATAAGAGGAGTGGAAGTCTAATCCATGAAAAATGTACCAATAGTTATGGTGTAAGAGAGGTCCACTCTATGTCTAAATAAAAGGTGTGACCAGTTTTTATTCAACCTTGTATGAATGGGTAAGAGTCAACGTGCACGTGCCATGACCTTTTACAGAGTGCCATTCAACATGGTATTATATATTTTATGTCACAGTTATCAACTAATCATTTAACCCTACATTGCTGATTTGACAATAGTTTATGGTAGAAGTGAGTAAATACCAGCTACAATATAAAGGAATAGTGGAAAAAAACTGTAGATATGCATTCCAGAGAGTTTAGAGGCTATGAAAATGTAATATGCAAACTGTATGATGAACATCACAGGAACATCATCTTATACTGGCTGTCATCAATTCACAGATACCTTGGGTAAAAATAATTTTGTAAAACATTAATTTTCTGTGTGCATTTTACCGAAAGCCTGCTACACATAATGTAGATATACATGGTAAATTTGGAATTATGGTTGACATTCCTTGTCCTATACAGAGTTGGCCCAATGACAATGCTGTACACTTTAACTAAATGAGGATAAAAAGAGCACTCCTCCTCAAAGTATATTTGGTAATAATATGTACATGAGTGTGTGTGTGTGTGTCTTGTCTGCGTACATAGGTTTTTTTAGGTATATTAGTTAATGAGCATACACAGCAAGTTTTATTTGATATGGATCTTTGCACCAAGAAAATCTTTCACACTGTGGTATGACATCAACATGTGTTGAAAAGTTGTTAAATTTTTCAATAATATTTGCGCTTTCTTGATATATGATACAAAAGTAATTGAATTGTAAAATTAACAGTAGGTCAATTAGGGTTTAAAATATTTCCTACATTATGGATATTTCTAAATGATTTAAGTAATAGTTATTATGTATTCTCGCATTGTTCTTACACTAACCAAATTGTCACATCAATACTTGTTAGTAATGGATAGTAAAACTGCTCAAGTGTACTAATACCATCTATACCTTATTTATAAAGAATTATTATACCATTCAAGCCATAGTATACCTTTTACTAAAAATATTTTTCAGTGTGCTAAATGTAGAAATAGTATTTTTATCACACAAAAGTATGGGTTAAAGATATTCTAAGCTTTGTTCTTGATTATTGTGATGTATTGTAAAATATGTGTTGGTAATGTTTTTTTCTCATTCTTAGGGATTCTCTTTTGTTGGCCTCAATGACAAAAATAAAGTAAAAGCAAGCAATTTTAAAGATAATACCCAGACCACATCTTTACCTCCTCATCCTGGTTCATTTTCTGTTGTTATTTCCACACCATCCTCAGTTTATCCATGTGATGCCCACTTTTCATCCCAGTCCCTGAACTACTCAAGTGCTGGCTCAAGCTTAGTGATCACTCGACCAACTAGCAGCTCTAGTTCAAGATCTTCTTATTCACCTGCTGAAAGCCCAAACCTTGGCAGACATTTTGAGCCAGGGACATTATACTCCCTTCCCCAGAGCCCTAGTTTGTCAACCCACCTTGGAAGAAGAAGCAGACCAGGAAGTGGGGGAACAGGCTATACTCCATCAAACAGTCCTCTTCAGGTACCTTTAACAGAATAAAAAACTGAAACGAACTATGGTCATACCTCTCAACTATACATTTTCCTAGGAATATTCTTTAATTTAAATACATGCACCAAATTAAAGTTTTCATACCCCTTATATTTATCAAAAATAGTGGTGTAACTTGTTTGTAAGGTTGCCCCCCAACTGGCACAGTAAATGTCTGTGGACTTGTAGTGCTAGAAACTAGGTTTCAATACTCATGGTGGGAACAGCACAGATAGCCCATTGTATAGCTTTGCACTTAACTACAAACAATTTGTAGGGCACATTTTTATTTTATGTAAATCTCAAAACTTATGATAATATTTGTAATACAAGTTTTAAAAAAACTATTATTATTTTCACAGTCAGCTTCTTGGTTGTGTGAGAATATTTCCAAAAAAAAAGACTTAGAAAACTTCTCTCAGATGTTTGGTATAAATTATACTTTTTTAGAAGTATGTTACTACCACAAGTTTTGATGCATTATACAATTCCTCTATTACCCATCCATTCACCAAAGTCCAACACAGTTCTCTCAGTAGTCTCTGAATTTTCATGATAATCCAAATATGCTATTTTTAAGAAAGAATGAATTAAACAACATTTAGCATAAGCTTAAAACCTAAAATTAATCTTTAATAATGAAAGTAAAACAGCAGAAAAAACTGATTTATATTTATTAATAAGTTTGGCATATTGTTTGTTTGAAGACATTATATTTTCCTTATTTTACTATATGTAGGATAGACAATCAGTCATTGAAAATTCCCTATATTCTGCTCTTCAAAGTCCAAACCGAGCCAGGCACCATATTCCAGATGGTCATGCTGTGGTGTCTCCAAATCACAGTCCAGCTCACTCAAGAAATATGTCACTTAATCGACCTGTTCCTTTTGGGGCATCTCCATCTCCAACACCTCACCACTTATTAACTGGTGTAAAGCAAGATAACATCTTGTCTTCAGCCCTGGAAAGGCCAATTTCCTACAAATACAGTACTTCTGAAGTGTGTTCTGCTTTATCTTACCGTCCAGGACAGGAGTCAAAGTTTACAGGTTATTAAATTTATTTAATATCATTCTTCATGAATTGCAGTTAACTGAATATGTTACTCAACTAAGTTGTTTATTAAAGAATTGATTTTCAGTAGACAATATCTACAATTCAATATAATTAGTTCTTTAAATTTAAAATTTTGAAATGGTGCTACCTCTATTCATCCATAGCTATCTCAATCTTTGTTTGTCCTCTGGACACTGATAAACTTTTTAAAAGCACACCAGTCTTTTATGCCCCTATATTTTTTGCATCATTGCAGCAATATGTGCTGACCATGTGACCACCCTCCACCAATCCCATTTGTGCCCTCTATACTAGCACAGGTAGCTCCCTCTACTCTTGCAGCACAATCCTCACTTTTGAAAATTGGTATATAGAAACCCCAAAACATTGGCACATCAGTGGGGAGAAAG